TCAATCAAAGACTTGTATGCATGCATATAAGCATAACCAATGGACACAGACACTTGGGGGTGAGGGCATGGCTGGGGAGTGGGAGTGGCCGGGGAGAGGTCAATGGGAAAGAGATATGTATAATACTTTAAACAATAAAGAAATTTTTGAAAAAAATCAATGAACATATAACTGGGTGAGGATAAAAGAAAAAATATATAAACAGAAATGTCAAAAGGAAATATAAAATATAAAAATGGAAATTTAAAATAAAATTAAAATTTGGAGGGGAGAATGAAATAGAGAAGAGTTCAGCACTAATAGAAGTACCAAAGAAGAGATCTATGTGGATGGGTGCTGATGCTATGAAGAAAATACCTCCTTATTGCTCTATATATGTACCTCAGGTAACAATGTTATATTCAATGTGTGTGTGTGTGTGTGTGTGTGTGTGTGTGTGTTTATTTCTACTGGACCTGTACATATAAGAAAATTGTAGTTTGCTTTGAAATCAAGGAGATTTGGGCTTGACTAATTCTCTAGTTTTTGTTGTTTTCTTTTCTTTTCTTTTCTTTTCTTTTCTTTTTTTTTTCTGAAAAAGGCATGTCTTTCAAAGCTACACTAGACCTGACTAGAAAAGTTCTAATGAAAGGTATAATTAGCCTGATTCATCCTTATCCCCAAAGTTCAAGTTAATGAGACCAATTCTGCAATGGTGGAGAAGTAAGCAGTGTAGAGGGAGATCAACAGGATCCTGAGACCCTGTCTGAGTCTGCTTGGGAGCAGATGTCAGACATTCTGTTAGATGGGCTAAGGAATAGGAAGAAGGCCAGAGACCTAACAACATATGCAATATGTAAACTGAATAATTGTTTCAACATTCTTCCTTTTGTTCCATTATATTTATCAAGGGCAATATTTTTGAAAACCCCAACATTTTTTTTCAGATATACTAATGAAACCCAACAAAAGGGGGTTTTGCTTTATTTCAATTAGGATATTTAAAAACTTTTAATTTAAAATAATTTTAGACTTACTAAAAGGTTATAAACATGGTACAGAATTCCTGTATACCCTTCAACCAGTTTTTTTCTTAATGAGAACATCTGACTTAATCACAATACTAATACTGTTATGGAAAGCATTATATTAACATTAATACAATACTATTAACAAATATAGTTGACTTTTGCTAGTTTTCCCACTAATTCTGTGGTTTTTTTTTCTGGATCCCATGGTTTATTTAATTGTCATATCTCCATAGTCTCTTCCGAAATTTGACATTGACTTTTGAAGGGTACTGACCACTTATTTTGTAGGATGTCTTCTATTTGATTTCTCTAATACTGTCTAATGATTGGATTGAGAAAATGAATTTTGAGCAAGAACACCACTGAAGTGATGTGCCTTTGTTAATCTATCACACCAGGATTTCAAGATGGCAGCACAGTGGTTAGAAGCTACACTCACCTCCTTCCAGGACCAAACTGGAATCACAACTAAATTAAAGAACAATCACCTCGAATAACCAACTGAAGACTAGAGGAAGAGAAGTCTTATAATCAAGGATTTACAGAAGAAACCACATCGAGGTGGTAGGAAGGGTGAAGACATGAAAAGGGCTGGTTTTGCTCCCATAGGTGCTGGTTGATGTTCTGGAGGGATATCTCAGCTGTGGGGAGAGGGGAGTGGGTTCCCCTAAGAAGTATGGAGCCGAAACCCCAAGCCAGCTTCCCAGCCCAGAGTACCAGAGCTAGGAAGAGGCACCCACATAACATCTGGCTGTGAAAACCAGCAAGGTTTCTGTCCACTAGGGATAAATGGAGTGCACTAGAGACAGAGGCATCCTCTTAAAGAACCAATGCACAAAATTTCATTTGTAGCCACTAGCCCTGGGGTCCGGGAAAGGCCAGGCAGAACAAACTAGAGTCATCTGAGGAGAGTCTAGGGCAAGCATGTCAAACTCACGGCCCACAGGCCGCATGTGGCCCACAACAAATATTTCTGAGGCCCAGCCAATATAACGGTATGAAAGAAAAGTTTTAATAAAAATTTCATAACTTAATTTTTACAATATCCTGTTATACGTAATTATTTTTTTAAATTTGCATTTTCCATTTTATTTATTTTTTCTTTATTGATTAAGGTATAATGAACTACGTTCACTAATGACTGATTACTATAATCGTGTTGCATTCATTTCCCTTACACGCCTTATGCACAGGCGCACCATTTCTCTCCACTAATACTAGCAGTGAATATTTTAGCAGCCGACTGCCCTATCATTAGTCTTGGACTGACTTGTTTGATGTGAGCAACAGGAAATATTTCACTTTTGGAGAACAAGAAAAATAGGTTTATTTTAAGTTACGCTTATTAATTTGTGCAGTTATTTAGTATCTGATAAGTTAATGTTCAAAAATATTTTTATTAAAATGTTCTATTATTTTATGTTGATTACTAATTTATTTCAGCTCTTTGTATTCAATATGTCTCTATCGAAATAAACCTATGTTCCTATGAAAGTTGAAGCTTTTGTTTTTTTGCGGCCCACACAAACTTAAACCTTGTTATTTGGCCCGTGTTAGCCTTTGAGTTTGACATGTTTGGTCTAGGGTTTGTGGCTCTGGGGAGAGATCTGGGGGAATAGCTGCCAGGATACCTATGCTGAGTCATTCTCTGATACAAGCAGACACCATCTTTCTTCCCCCCACATGTGGCATCAGCCTGGGGAAAAGCAATTACCCCACTCTTTGCACTCCCTCTCACCCCACCCTGCAGAGCTTAGGCTCTGAAGAGTTAGCTGACCTGGCCAACGTAGTAGAGATCTGGGCAGACTCAGGGGGTATTGAGTGACTGAGTTGTCAGCTTTCAGGTGGGGGGCCATTCCTTCACTTTCCAGTGAATCTCACTGGTGCCTCCCTCTCAAGGAAGATCTGATAGAACTACCCTCCCAGCTTCTGGCAGTCCCAACCTCTGGGCTCTAGAAGCCCCACCTGTCCAACTACTAGTGGCTCCACTCTGCAGAGGTTGGAACAAAATCTGGGACAGACTGAGTCTTGTGACTTTGGGGTGGGGACCACGCGCACTATCTTCTCTGAAGTCTGACTGGCACCACCCGCCTCACAGGAAATCCATTAGCCCCATCCTCCTAACTCTGCCAGAGGTTCTTTCAGTGACTGAGCCTAACAGGAAGCTGGCAGGAGGAGGCAGGTGGAGGTGGATTTTGGAGTGCCCAGACCCTGTGCTGGCATTGGTGTGCAGCTTGGGCATTGCCATGTGCACTCAAGCCCAGCAGAAGCAATGACAAACTCTGGATTGCTTATAAATCCAAACAGGTTGCGAGAGTCAGACACAGACAGTGACTGACATTGGCCTGCACCAGAATCCTTCCCAAGAGGCCTACAATCAACAAATACCATGGCCAGCTTCAGATAACATCAGAACAGGATCCAATAAGCTTCACAAATAGCATATCCACAGGAGGATCTTGGCAGGCAGCAAACCCTGCTGAGGTGAATTACATTTCATGTCGTCAGCACCTGCATAGCAGTTCGCACACCATGGTCAGGGTTGAACCTCACAGTCAGTACGCCTGAGGGTTGATCCCATGCATGAATGGGCCAATAGCAATCAAGACTCACAACAAGAAGGCCCATATAACCCACATAGGGACATTCCTAGAGCACCCAGCTCAAGTGATCAAGAAGTCTGCACCACTAGGTCCTATAGGACTTCTACTGCTTAAGGCCACCTCACGAAGACTGGAGTCACAACAGATTTATATAATACATAAAAACAAACACAAAAAGATAGCCAGAATGGGGAGACAAAGAAACAAGCACCAAATAAAGGAACAGGAGAACTCTCCAGAAAAAGTTAAATGAAATAGAGAGGCCCCATTTTATCAGATATAGAGTTCAAAGTAATGGTTATAAGGATGCTCAAGGAACTTAGTGAGAACTACAACAGCATGAAAAAGGACATGGAAAACATTAAAAAGGACCAGTTAGAAATAAAATATTTGACATCAAGAATATACTAGAAGGAATTAAAAGTAGTTTGGATGAAGCAGAGGATAGAAACAGCAATTTGAAAGAAAAGGTTAAAAAACAACAACAATCAGAGCAGCAAAGAGAGAAAATAATTTTTAAAAATGAGTATACTTTAAGGGATCTTTGGAACAACATGAAGCATAACAACATCCACATCATAGGAGTAACAGAAGAAGAGAGAGAGCAGAATGGAGAACCTATTTGAAGAAATAATGACCAAAAACTTTCTTAACCTGTGAAGGAAAAAGACACAATTATAGGAAGCACAGAGTCCCCAAAAAGATGAACCCAAAGAGGCCCACACCAAGACACATCAGAATTAAAATGGCAAAGGTTAAAGGCAAAGAGATAATCTTAAAAGCCATAAAGATAGCTATCTACAAGAGAACTCCCATAAGACTGCCAGGTGATTTCTCAACAGAAACATTTCAGGCCAGAAAGGACTGGCATAAAATATTCAAAGTAATGAAAAGCAAGAACCTACAACCAAAACTCTTTTACCAGCAAGGCTTATCATTTAAAATTGAAGGAAAAATAAAGATCTTCCCAGATAAGAAAAAGATAGAGGGGTTTGTTACCACCAAGCCAGTATTACAAAAAATGTTAAAGTGAGAAGGAGGAAGAGGAGGAGGAGGAGGGGGAGAAAGAGAGAGAGAGAGAGAGAGAGAGAGAGACCCTGATGTGAGAGAGAAACATCAATTGGTTGCCTCCTGCATGCCCCCTACCAGGGATCAAGCCCACAACCCAAGCATGTACCATGACCAGGAATCAAAAAGAAGAAAAACAACAACAACAACAACAACAACAACAACAACAACAACAGCAGCAGCAGCAGCAACATAAATGCTCCAATCAAAAGACATAGGGTAGCTGAATGTAAAAGAAAACAAGATCTATATATATATATAGTCTACAAAAGATCCAACTTAGAATGAAGGATATACACACCCTAAAATTAACAGTAAGGAAAAAAGATATTCCATGCAAATGGAAAGGGGAAAAAAGCTGGGTAGCAATACTTACATCTGAAAAAATAGACTTAAAACAAAGGCTATAGTAAAAGACAAAAAAGAACACTACATAATGACAAAGGAAGCCATTCCACAAGAGAATATAACCCTTGTAAACATGTATGCACTCAATATAGCAACACCTAAAAAATATAAAACAAATATTGATGGACATGAAGGGATAGACTGACAGTAATTCATTCATAGTAGGGGACTGTAACACCTCATTGACATCAATGCACAGATCTTCCAGACAGAAAATCAACAAGGAAATGGTGACCTTAAATGACACACTAGATAAGATGGATTTAATTGACATATTCAGAACATTTCACTCCAAAGCAGCAGAATATACATTCTTTTCAAGTGCACATGGAACATTTCTAGGACAGATCACATGTTAAGACACAAAACAAGTGTCAATAAATTTGAGAAGATTGAATCATATCAAGCACCTTTTCTGACCATATACTGCTATGAAATATGCAATCAATTACAAGAAAATGGAGAAACACACGAAGACATGGAGGTTAAATAACATGTTACTAAATAATGAATGGGTTAACAATGAGAACAAGGAAGAAATAAAAAAAAAATACATCGAAACAAATGAAAACGAGAACACAACAATCCAGAATCTATGGGACACAGTGAAAGCAATCCTAAGAGGGAAGTTCACAGCATTACATGTTTACCTCAAGAAACAAGAAAATTATCAAATAAACAATCTAACTTTACACTTAAAGGATGTGGACAGAGCCCAAACAAAGCCCAAAATGAGTAGAAGCAAGAAAATACTAAAGATCAGAGCAAAAATAAATAAAGTCTAAAAATACAAAATATCAATGAAACCAAAAGCTAGTTCTTGAAAAGATAAACAAGATAGACAAACCTTCAACCAGACTCATCAAGAAAGAGGACTCAAATAAATGAAATCAGAAATAAAAGAGAAGTAACAGCTGACACCAAAAAATAAAAGGATTATAAAAAAAATATTACAAACAACTATATGCAAAACAAATTGGTCAATCTAAATGAAATAAATTCCTAGACATACAATCTTACAAAACTGAATCAGAGAGATCAACCAAAGGACTTGTATGCATGCATATAAGCATAACCAATAGACACAGAGCTCCTGCATTGAGTGTCTGCCCCCTGGTGGTCAGTGTGTGTCATAGTGACCAGTGATTCCCAGTTGCTCTGCTGTTAGGGTCAATTTGCATATTACCCTTTTATTATATAGGATAGAGGCCTGGTACATGGGTGGGGGCCAGCTGGTTTGCCCTGAAGGGTGTCCCGGATCAGGGTGGGGGTCCCGCTGGGGTGCCTGGCCAGCATGGGTGAGCGGCTGATGGCTGTTTTCAGGCTGGCTACAGCCCCTTAAGTGGGGGGGTCACCCCTGGGGGCCTGGCCAGCCTGGTTGAGGGGCTGATAGCTGTTTGCAGGCTGGCCACACCCCCTTCAGGGTGGGGGTCCCCGCTGGGGTGCCTGGCCAGCCTGGGTGAGGGGCTGATGGTTGTTTGCAGGCTGGCCAGCCCCCAGCCACCCAAGCTCCCAGTGGAGGCTGGCTGGAAGCAGGTATCTGGGATTGATTTAGTTTCTATAATTGAAACTTTGTTGCCTTTTGCGGGGCCACAGCTGGCCAGAGCAGGCGGGAAGCTTGGCTTCTTCCATTGCGGGGGCAATCAAGCCTCTGGCTTGCTCCAGCTCCGTGGCTGTGGGCTACCATCTTGGTTGGGTTAATTTGCATATAATCGCTCTGATTGGCTGGTGGGTGTGGCTTGAGCGTGGCGAAGGTATGGTCAATTAGCATCTTTGTCTTTTATTAGTGTAGATTCTCAGCAAAATGGGAATAGAGGGAACATACTTCAACTTAATAAAGGCCATATATGACAAACCCACAGCTCATATACTTAATGTGAAAAAACTGAAAGTGTTTCCCTTAAGATCAGGAACAAGACAGGGATGGCTGCTTTCACCACTCTTATTCAACACTAGAGGCCCAATGCATGAAATCCATGGAAGGGGCTCAGCCCTCACAGCAGTGGCAGCTTGCCTTGATTCTCACAGCCCCGGCTTTGTCAGGATGGTTGTCTGGAAGGTCGTTTGGCTGTCCAGTCTAATTAGCATATTATGCTTTCATTATTATAGACTAGTGGCCCAGTGCACGAAATTCGTGCATGGGGGGGGTGTCCCTCAGCCCAGC